GGAGATCGATAGTGTTAAGACTCCATTATGTTTCTTCTCAAGATCTCTCACTAACTGTCAGACTAAATACAGTGCTTATGACCGAGAACTGCTAGCAATTTACAGTGCAATAAAACACTTTAGATATATTCTCGAAGGACGAAACTTTACGGTTTTTACAGATCACAAACCTTTAATATTTGCATTTAAACAGGACTTAAATAAAACTTCACCTCGTCAAACTAGACAACTGAACTTTATTAGTGAATTCACAACAGATATTCGTTACATTTTGGGTAATGACAATATCGTTGCAGATACCTTGTCCCGAATAGAGTCCATTACATTTCCTTGCCCTGTAGACTATAAAACTCTGGCGGACAGTCAAAAAGACGATCCTGAGTTGTTGGATCTAAAGCAAAGTTCTAGTTTGAAAATAGTTAAAGTTCAACTTCCAAATTCATCTACAGAGCTATACTGTGATGTATCTACAAAATTTACTCGCCCTTACATCCCTTTTCCTTATAGAAAATCAATATTCTCCGCTATACATTCTCTGTCCCACCCGGGAGTAAGAAGCACAACTAAGTTGGTGACTCAAAGGTTTATATGGCCAAATGTCAAGTCATTCAAAGAGAGATCAAAGAGAGAGAGTCAAAGAGAGATTGTAAGCTGTGGACTCAAACTTGTGTAAACTGTCAAAAAACAAAAATCCAACGGCATACTAAATCACCTCTTACAAACTTCCTTGTTCCGGATCAACGGTTTAAGTCCATCAACATCGACATCGTGGGTCCATTGCCTTTGTGCAAAGGATTTCGTTATGTGTTGACAGCAATTGATAGGTTCTCTCGTTGGTTAGAGGCTGTTCCTATTGAAGATCAATCTGCTGATACTGTGGCTAAAGCGTTGGTAAACACTTGGTTTTCTCGTTTTGGCATACCTTCTCAGATAACTACTGACCAAGGAAGACAGTTTGAAAGTCAACTTTTTCAATCCCTAGGAAAGTATTTTGGATTTAAACATGCTAGTACCTCAGCTTATCATCCTCAATCAAATGGATTAGTTGAAAGACAACACAGGACTATGAAAACAGCACTAAAATGTCATCTTCTACAACACAAAATGGGTGGAAGCCTTACCTTTAGTTCTTTTGGGTATGCGTACTGCATTAAAAGATGACCTACAATGTTCTGCTGCTGAACTGGTTTATGGATCACCTCTAACACTCCCTGGCGTTTTCTTTAATGAAGATACAAGCAAATGCATTAGTCAGCAAGAGTTTATGCTTAACCTTAAAAGTGTGATTAGTAAACTACAGCCAAGACAAACTTCTACTCATGGTTCACCTAAGACTTTTGTTCCACAAGAACTATTTACTGTTTCTCATGTGTTTCTCCGGCAAGATATGTCGTTTGGTTCGCTTAACCCTAATTTTTCAGGACCCCACAAGGTCTTGACAAGATATGAAAAATGTTTTGAAATTGAAGTGAACGGAAAAAAAACAAAAGTTTCAATTGATCGTTTAAAACCAGCGTTCCTTCTTGAAGACTACATCCCCGAAAAAGGAAAACAAAAAAGAGATGTCACAAGACAATCCGACAATGTAAATAAGTCCATTCCCACAGCAGACAAACCACACAAGGCTCAAAGATCAAGATTTGTTCGTGTGGTGAATAATTCCTCACTTAAAGTGAGGGACTCATTCTAGGGGGGAGTGTGTAGTCTACTCTTCCTTCTGGTCTTTAGCATCAAGTCTGTTTTGTTTTAATAACTTAATAATTTTACATATGTTGAATTATTATTGTTTATTTTTGTTTTGTAAACAGTTTAGTTTTTTACATTGTTTTCAATACAACTTTTAATTCCATACAACTATTGATTTTTATCATTTACTTTAGCAGTATAACCCAAAAAAGCCCCGGAAGTGGGGATACAAAATCTTTGCTCTGTGTGATACCAAGGGTCTTATCTACGACTTTGAAGTGTATGTAGGCCAAATTGAGCCAGTACCAGGCTTCCCTGATTTGGGTGCTAGTTCCAATATAGTTTTGAGAATGGCAGAAACGATACCGAGAGACAGGAACTATCTATTATTTTTTTATAACTGGTTCTCTTCCCTGAAATTATTCTTTGAATTGTGGAAGTTAGGAATAGGAGCTCTATCAACAGTCAGAATCGACAGATTTCCTGGAATGAACTTCACGGGAGATAAAGAAATGAAGGCCTTAGGGAGAGGAACCTTTGAAGAAAAGAGATACATCACCTCTTATTTTCCCAATTATGAACCAGTTGATGTCGAAATAAGAGCAATAAAATGGTTTGACAACCGTGGTGTTGTTGTGGTGAGTTCGTTTGAAAGCAGTTTGCCCATTACTAATGTAAAGCGGTTTGACAGAAAGCTCTCCAAGGAAGTTGAAGTCCCATGTCCAAAGGCTATTGTAACTTACAATAAGTTCATGGGAGGCGTGGACCTATTAGACGGACTAATTGCACACTATAGAACTAAAATAAGGTCCAAGAAGTATTACCTCAAATTCATTTTCCACTTCCTAGACTTAACTGTTGTGAATGCCTGGTTGTTGTACAGGAGGGACTGTAGGAATAACAACTTTCCCAAAAAGCATACTCTTGACCTGCTAGATTTCAAATCAAATGTTGCCGAAAGTCTGCTAAGGCAAGGTAAAGACAATGAGAGGAAAAGGGGTCGACCATCGAGTGACCAAACTGATGCTGAGTTTCAACAAAAGAAAAAACGTGGGCCAACGAAACCCATCCCTGAGTACAACATTAGACATGATGGTGTTGGTCATTGGCCCCTGATCACAGAAGACCGCCAGAGATGCAACAAGCCTTCCTGCAAAGGAATCACCGTTGTAAAGTGCTCTAAATGCAATGTGCATCTATGTCTAACAAAAAACAGAAATTGCTTCTCATCATCCTTTCATACATAAGTTAGTACCATTGAAATCAAAGACTGTTGTTAACTATAAGACTAAAATCTAAGTCTACCTTGTTTTTTCAATTTGTCTACAATAAAAATGTTTTAGAACCCAATGTTGCATTTTCATTACAAACCCCTGTGGTGCTTGAAATCGCTTGTTGCCCAATGTTGCGTTTTAGTAACAAACCCCAAAATATGTCAAATCAGCATTGGAAAAATCTGCAAAAAATTCCAAGTCATTTTAAGACATAAATAACCACAATTTTTTAAGAAAAACTTTTTTCTAAGGTATTTTAAAAATTCGGGCAGTAAGAGGTTAAGATTTACTAGGTTAAGCCTATCACGTCGACAGTTACTGTTAAGGTTGCAAGCAAGATCGTTTGACTATAAATCGATGATAAATAACTCCATTTTTTTAGCAATTTAGGTTGTTCGTGATTTACCAGGGTGCTTTAGGTACGTCCGATCTTAGTAATCAATAATTCAAATATATTCAAATATATATTTCAAATACTGTATATATATATTCAAATATATATTTTTCAAATATATATGAAGCGTCGAGAGGCCAAGGGAGATATGTGACTTTTAAAAAAATGTCATTGTATTTTTTTCATGGTCATAAAAAAAATATAAAAATAAAAATAAATTCACTTATACCCCTTGGCTTCCAACTCTTAGGTGTTTAGTTTGGAGGCCAAGGGATATAAGTGAATTATTTGTTGAAATTCCACCCTTTTTTAACAAAACCCGTTACCATGACAACATTTTTTTAAAAGTCACATATCTCCCTTGGCCTCTCAACGCCTCATATATGGTATTTCACTGAAGGTTCTTAGGTCAAATCAAATAGAATAACCTAATTAGAATTGAGTAAATATATCTTAAACTAAATTCCATATCCAAGATATAATCAAAATTATATTTTCTGATTGAGCACAGTATCTTTAACTTAACTGATTAAAACTATCAATATCTCAAGCTCAAGTGAAAGCCTTTGAAGTATTTTAAGACAAAGATATATAAAATAACTTGAAAAAAGTAGTGTTAAGTATCATTTTGTGCATAACTCGAAATATAGGTCAAAATGAATGCTGATGCTTGATGGCAAATCTGTGGTGTGTCCATACCTTTAGTTTAAGGCCAAAATGCTGAAAATCGGTCGGGTAGAAGAGCTAACCCGACTCGGAAAAGAAAAACCAATAATTTTTATAGATGGCAATAATTGGTTTACCAGTAGGCCTATGCATAATCTAATCATACAAAACATGTGTTAATAATTTTTACAGCTTATTGTTATATTGTTATTTAATTGATTTTTCGTTGATTAAATGTTGTTAACAGTTTGCATTTGTGTTTAAAGTGAGTTCCTTATGTTTTAAGTATGTGATTCTAATGACCGTTGTATTTAACCACAACGGGCTCTGTTGCTAGTTAAGCAATAATAATGATTGTGCAATAATGACAATGTGCAAATTGTTAATGGCTGTTTACACAGTATTACAGCGTTTTAATGGGTTTGTCATGTGTTTTATACTATATTGGGTTAACCGTAGTTTTTATGATCCCCCCCCCCCTTCAAACTCAGGTAATCAAGTGTCTACTTAAAGTATTGTAGCTTATGCTACTTAATTGTATTTTAATGAGGTTTATGTCGACAAAGCATACTGTGTTGAGTCGGGGTGTAGCTTGTGTCTGTGCCACGTGTTATTATCTTTATCTATCGCATTAGTGGAGCCATTCCGTGACCTCCTCTTGGATCTCATGTCTTGCTGAGCTTGAATAATAACTTCCTGCACGAATCCTAAACATACAGTAGCTATTTTAGCTAATTGAAATTCAATAACTATATAATAACTGTTTGTTGTAAATCTATTGTCATTAATTAACTGACATTCTATCTTGAACACTGTATCAATCAACTTTAGTCACCCTGAAAGTTTAGAACCCCCCCCCCCCTTGTTGGATGTCCTCACCTCATTCTCACTGTTGATGAAAATCCCATCTTTTGATGATTAGATAACACTTGTACTGTATGGAGGCATTGAACCTAACTACTGTAATATTTTTGTTGAAGGGAGGAGGCAAGACCTCTACATCACTTCATGTGGCAAGGTCTATCTGTCGTCGGGCAGAGCGATCAGTTCAGCCTCTGGTTCAAGACGGCCGGTTAGACAAAGAAATCCAGGTGTATTTTAACAGGTAATGATCATTTTAATTTCCTTAGTAAGTAATTGCCACTAAAAAGATAAAAAACTATTTTTTGAATACTGATTTTTCTTTGAAAATTATTGTTAGATTTATTATGAAAATAATATTGCTGCAAAACATAAAAACTTGAATGGTTTTGACTACCCCTACCCAAAAGCCTAAAAATTTGAAACTATTTTAATTACTTTTTTTACAAGTCGTAAAAATATTCGTATATATTGTAAATATCGTATATATTTTTTATAAATGCAAACCAAAGCAAATTAACAAGGAACAGCAAAGAGTAGTTTCAGACGAAGAAATAAAACTAGATACCATCTTGACCTTTTTAAATCAGTCAGATTATACTCACTCAGCAGTGGTAATGAAATGGAATACTTCTTCTAATGTGGTGAGTCCTCCTTTGAATTCATGGCATAGCAGATATGTTTTTAACATTAGAAAACTTGACTTAAGCTTGATAGACTTATTTTTAGTTCCTTTAGGTGAAGTCAAGTGGTTAAACATCCTAAAAGGCAATGAAAAGATTTTGACGTGTTTTTCAACAAAGCAAGGGAATTGTTTGATGTTTTTTTCCATCCAAGACTAAGGTGGGCCCCCATTGGAAGTCTAACAAAAAATGTGAGAGCAGAGGTCAAAGTCTGGCCTTGACTGGTATAGTCCCGAGTTGTCTAGGCTAAAACAGGACATGCTAGTCCTGAAGGATTGCGAGACCAACCAAGCGGCGGACAAGGCAGCTTACCTAAACTCCAAAAAGGTCTACAAGCAAAAGATTGTGGAAGCCAAGAAAGATGAATTTATCAGCCAAAAATCAAAGTAAGGCAACTTGGGATGTGGTCAATAACGGCCACAAGAAGCAGTCGGGCGATACAAAAACCCCCACATAATCCAGACCAATTTAATAGATTTTTTATTGATTCTGTGGATAGTATTGTAGCCTGTTTGAAATCTTCAGATCCTAATGAGGTATTGCTGAATATTGAGGTGAGTACCCAAATAATTGTATCGTGGCAGTCTACTACTCCAACCGAGATAGAGAAAATTGTCGCGAGCTTTAAGAATCCAAATAGCCCTGATTTTTACGGTATGTCTACAACTTGGTTGAAGCGGGTGAAAGGAAAACTTTCTCAACCTCTATCGCTGCCCCATCTACAAGAAGGAAGAGAGAGATAGACTGGACAGCTACAGGCCCGTTTCTATCTTACCAGTCTTTGGTAAAGTCGTGGAGGCTCTGATGACTAAGCAGCTCTGCGAACACCTGGAGTCAAACAACTTGCTGACGGATGGTCAATTTGGATTCTGTAAGGGCCGATCCACAACAGGGGCGGTAATGAGGCTGGCAGGTTTGGTTGGCGAGGCATTTGAGGCTTGTAACACAGTCACCCTCACATTGTGCGATCTAAGCCGCACATTCGATTGCGTCAACCATACTCTACTTGTTAGGAAGTTGGAAAGACACGGAGTAGGTGTCTCAAGACAATTGAGTCGTATCTTTCGGGTAGGCAGCAGTTGGTCTCCATTGAGGGGGCGATTTCAGCACCTCTAGAGGTAGCTTATGGAGTCCCGCAAGGATCTGTCATTGGGCCACTTCTCTTCCTAGTCATGATTAATGATCTTGACAAGACTGGAAATGTTGTATTGTTTGCTGTCGATACCACCCTTGTGTCACGAGGACTGCATGTTGATCAGTCTGTAGCGGGAGCGGAGCAACACTTACTAGAAGCTTCGAACTGGTTTGAGGCCAATGGCTTTCAGCTGAACCAAACTAAAACACAGACTCTTGTCTGCAGTCTAGCCAAACGTGCTCCTCCGAATGATCCGGTGAGTTGTTGGGATTCACACTCGACCAAAAACTAACCTGGAGTGACCATATAGACCAAGTTTACAGTAAACTATCGAGGGTATGCTTCCTGCTTCTAAAACTAAGATATCTGGTCACAGAGCAGTAAATACCTGCTGAGCGTGTATCACGCAATGTTTCATTGCCATGTGAGCTATGGTATTTTGCTGTGGGGACACGCACCCATGACCGAAGAAATATTGATCCTGCAAAAGAGAGCTCTGAGAATAATGACCTTTAAACAGCTGTAACCGAATTGCCAACTCCATTGATCAAAAGGGTGAAGCCCTTGGAAGCGCAAAATCAATGGTGGGATTCCGGCACAATATTGCTGAGGTGGAGGACCAACAATAACAACACAAGAGCTGGCTGGACACAAATATAATTTCATTTATTCAAAATATATATAAAGATATAACAATACAATAATAAATAGCCATAATGAATAGGCATTGCCCTAGCCAAGATAATAATTAAAGTTTTTAAAATATTTAAAAATTTCTTTAATAAAAACATTTTAATTTAAAAATAGAAACGCTATATTTTGGTTAGGGCTAAAATTGCCATAAAGCGAAAACATTTAAATGTACTATTTCAAACAAATTTAACTTAAGTTAGGTTAGGTGGCCACCTTATAAAAATTATTTAAAAACAATTAAATTAAGACCTTTGCCTACATTAAAATAAATAATTTTTACATTTACAAACATGAAAAACATTTACACTATCAACAAATGTGGTCGCCTCGCAAAGCCTTTAAAATATATTCCAAGCGGTAAAATTAACTGTCAAGGGAAAAAAAAGGCTTTACCCTCAATCAAGGGGTGTGAAGCAGAATTAAAAGAATGGAATAAAATATTAAAGTCAAATTAAGTTTTGAGCTGAAAGCCTAATTAATTAAATTGCAGGTAAAAAGATTACAGGGGTTGTTATATAAGTTAAATCAAAACGGTGATGTTGAGTTAGATTTCTTCATGATGGATGAGACTCTCCAAATGGACTGGACTGACCTGACCGTAAAACCTTGCTGTCGTCCAGGTAGCAGGAAGTAGAAGTTGGACCGAGGGCATGGTGGCCGCTCCCTAGACACTGCAGCACGGTATTAGGCCGGAGTAAAATTTATCATTGTAAAAATGGCGGGTGGAAGTAAAGACAACGAGCATTGTGGTGAATGTAATTTTAAAGTTACTAATAAAACGGGAGGTATTTTTTGCAGAGGTATATGTGAAAAGTGGTTTCACCTCAAATGTAGCAAAATAACTAAAGAAGAATGCAAACAATTTGAAGAATTGAAGGGTAAAGCTATGTGGTTCTGCTCTGCATGTGAAAGTGAGGTTAAACGTTTCATAGACCGTTTGAAAAATTAACATTTGAGTGGAAATACCAATGACAATACCAGCTTAAAATTGATGTGGGATAAATTAGACTTGATTCAAACTAATTACGTTAAAATAGATGAGCGGCTGAAACAAGTTGAAAGCTCTAGCAAATCGATTTCAACCCCAAACATTATTGTGAATAGGCCTACCACTACAGACGAAAGTGATTGTTGCACATCCGATTCAAATGTTATAAACAATGAAAATGTTAATATCGAAGTATTAAATGTTTCTAGTGTTAAAAAAAATCTGATGGTTCCAATGTGTGCCGTGCGCGTCATTTTATATATATATACTCAGCGCGCGGGCAACAGCTTACTGGCCGAAGCATATCAGCAGCCAATGGAATAGAGGAAAAAAGCGATGAGCATACGAGAAATCTCTCTCGTACGTTTTCGTCTCTTGAACGCGCCTGAATGCTTGCTGACAGCTCCAAATTAAAACATAAGTATTAGTATCTAAGTAATTGCATTAATTTATCAGGGAAACCAATTTCAATCATGAAGTAGTTTAAGTTCAGTTAGGGGTTGCCGGGGAGAAATCAGGGGGCTTTGTGATGTAGGTTTTCCAACTTAAAATGTTCAATTGTTCAATTGTTCAACGTTGTTGTTAATTGTTTCATGTTCTAAATTGTTCAATAATTATGTGCTGTCAATTCGATTAATTCATTGCTAAATTACCTTACTTCTATCAGTTTCCATTTTACACTGTTAGTTCATTAATTAGTAATCTTGTAGATGCAATTCTTACATATTTAGGTAGTGGGTTAGTTATAAGATTTACTTGTTATAAATTACCAAAGTCACAGCTCATCAAAAGCTGGCTTAAGGTGTTAACGGCGATGGGCACGATCAACCTCATGGTAAAATCCTTCTTTTATAATAGACAGTCAACAGTCCTTCTTAATTTCTCAACCTCATAGTTATTATTAATATATATTTTCTTGTCACAATCCTCACTCATCCATACCACTCTTCCCTTAACTTATTCCACAGACATGCTGAACCAATTCAAGTAGTATCACCCAGTCACACAGATTCTCTACATAAATGTTACAAATGATATCGAAATATATGCACAAATAGCAGCCCTAAATAAGACTACCAATCAAGATACCAAGGCTCTGGGTAGGCCTAAGCCTAACCCCCGTGGAAAGTTAAATAAACTTAGCGAAAAAGAGAAGAGGTTATCAGTTAACCACAGTAAGAAAACTGTCGTGGGTTCTAAGCCTAGTGTGGAGAATTCCAATTTGATTTTGACTCAGAAGAAGGAGTGGGTGTTTCGTTTGTATCTCGATTGTCACTACAATGCAAACCCGAGGACATCAAGGAACATTTAGAACAGGTGGGCATTAATACTAGTGACGTGATTTGTGAAGAAGTTAGGACTAAATTCCCTGGCTACAAGTCCTATAAGGTAGGAGTCAACCCGGAAGACGTAGACAATATTATAAAGCCGGAACTGTGGCCTGAAGGTGTACTTGTGTGTGAGTACACATCACGTAGACCTAAACCGTTCTACAATGACAGGAAGAGTTTTTTATGGAATGCGAGACCGCAACGCAAAAAGAACTAACACCTCCTAAAGTTCATATGTAACTAGGCCTAGGCCTACCTACCTCAACATCACTGCATTGTAAGTCAAATGTCGTAGGCCTACAGCGTAAAGGAAATGTTTATTCTTAAATGTTCAAGGATTACAAGGCATGCTAAATATGTTAGTAATGGAATCTACTGAAAATGAGTATAGTATTATCTGTTTAAATGAACATT